TTTTTTTTTTCTTTTTTTTTTTCTTTTTTCTATATGCTGACTTGTTTAATGTCATGCTTATCTGATTATTTATTTACTTGTTTAGGGAAGTTTTGAAAATCTAGAAGCCATCAGGAAATCCGGAGTACAAGTAATGCTCATTGCTCATCTACCTTGATTTTCCATTATTATTTTTCAAGAGCTGCTTGATGCATTTTTCCTTTTTGGACCTATTTTATTAAACTGACATTCGAAAACGTCAATTTAGTGTCCCCTCTTGTGTAAGGAGTTTGTGGTAGATGCATGGCAAATCTTCTATGCTCGTGTAAAAGGCGCAGATGCTATTCTATTAATTGCGGCCGTTTTACCTGACTTGGACATCAAGTATATGATTAAGATTTGCAAATTGCTCGGTTTAACAGCCCTTGTTGAGGTACGGCTTCTTCTACTCCTTGATGTGTGTTGAGATACTTTTCCATGCAAAAACATATGAAAATTCCGATTTCTATACGTCTTTTGATCAAGAACATATGAAAATTCTGATTTCTATATGTCTTTTGATCGTGAACTGACGGTCTGCAGCTTTAATTTTTTATTTTTATTTTAATCATTTGTCGTTGCTTCTTATAGGTACATGATGAGTTAGAGATGGATCGTGTGCTCGATATTGACGGGATTGAACTTGTTGGCATTAATAACCGTGACCTCGGTATTATTTCCAGAAATTGTACAATTTGGGCCATTATAATATTATTAGCTGTAATACGTCCAATTATTTATAGATTTTACTGATTGAATTGAGGGGTAATGGAAATTAAATAAAATGAAAGAACTTGATTCGCATACATGAAAAATTAACTGTTGGATTTTGCATCATGAATGGAAACATTAAGTTAGGAACTTGATTTGATTAACTGTTATTTCATGATTTTTTTAGGAACATTTGTGGTTGATATCACAAACACGAAAAAGCTCCTTGAAGGTGAGCGGGGACAAAGGATAATCGAGAAAGGCATTACTGTGAGTGTTCTTAAAAGTATCTTTGTTGAATATAGGTTTTTTATTTTTTTCTTATATAATCTCAATTTAAATCCTCATTTGTAAAACACTTTCAGGTTGTTGGAGAGTCGGGACTTTTCACGCCTGCTGATATTGCATATGTTCACGAAGCTGGCGTCAAAGCTGTAAGTTTTCCAGGCTGTTAAATAAATACTTTGCTCGGTTTTTTTCGCCTTTTATCTTGGGACTTGGCGATATTAAAACTTTTAATGGCCTTTCGTCCAATTTATGCAAGAAAAATGGAACTATCAAGATGATGTGAGATATCTGCTAATACTACCGTTATGTTTTAGCTCAATTTTAATAATAACCAAAAAAGAGGAAAAAAAAGAAAAGAAAAATCAATTCTCTTTACAAACATGCTTAAGCTCAAGTATACGGTTCGATATGTGTTTCTATTTACTGAATTCACGTGTATAACAAATGCAAACCGCAAGGGATATCTTTTAATTTTCTAATACTTCAAGGGGATACTTTTCATTCGACTCGTTCTACAATAACATAAAGAAGGTCAAACACTTTGACATAATGCATAAGCGACACAATTCTTGTTGTTTCACATATAACATATTGCATCTTATGTGAAACTATTATTTATTTTTTTTCTTGCATTTAGCTTTTTCCCCGCCATCTTGTAATTCGGTTAGACTTCATGCGTATTTTTCGGTGAATATCCCAAAATGTAACTGCCCCGAATGCATATTTTCTTGTGGTTTTACAGGTTTTGGTTGGGGAGTCGATTGTGAAGCAGAAAGACCCGTGCGCGGGTATAACTCAACTCTTTGGTAAAGATATCTCTTCATGACTGTTCATGGAAATCCAAATTTTTGTAGCTGCTTGAGCATGGAGATAACAAATCTCTTGCCCAATAAATCCTATACAAAATTTTTGTTTTTATTCATGGTGTACCAGATTTTCAGATGTTGTTTAATGTGTACTTACAATGTGGTCTAATTATATAACATTAATTGCATGTAATTTTGTTTCATGGATTAAGGTTTATATAATCTTGTGTGTATTATGTACAATTAGGGAACAGTGTTTTTATTATTATTATTATTATTTTCAATTCGAATTTTTTTTATTATTATTCTCAGCTTCAGTTTGCAGAGCAATTTTATGAACATCTTGCTTTCCCAGCTTTTATGAGCATAAATTTTAAGATAATAACAACCCTATTCTCCCTAAAACCAACTTTAAAATATAATATGGTTTTAAAATGTCTACATATCTTTTTTCTTTAAATTACATTATCCTTTACATTAAAATATCTACATATCTCATTTTCATTCGCAATTTTAATATTAATAAATATATTTTTACAGTAAATGATATATGAAAGTTACATAAACATAAGAAACTATATTATAAAAACTTTTTGTTCCGGTTATTTAGAATAAAATCAATATAATATTTCTTTATTTGATTAAGCGGTTGTTTTTTAAATAAATTAATTTATTTAAATGGCATAGTAAAATTCTTTAAACTCGCATAAGAAATTATGATAATAAATTTAATATTTTTTGATCTAATTAATTAGTCATAGTCTCTCAAAATTACAAAAATACATTATTTGTTTTATTTTATGCAATAATTAATGTAGTGATTCATATACAATCAAATTGTTATGTACTATATATTTTAACCAATGATCTAATTTTTAAACATAATACTTTTATCTAACTTATGATTTTAATATTATGTCATAAATATAACTTATAATACCCCAAGTTTAAAAGATAATACTATTATTTAATTTATAATAAAACATAAATTAACCCTATTGTTTTTTAAAGATAAAAGATAACCCTATTTATAATATTTTTCTTTGTTTTTTGTACAGAGACCTTCCGGTTTCCGAATTCTATTTATAATACTTTTATTATTTAAAAGATAAAAGATAAATTATTAATAAAAAAAACATAAAATATCACAAACCCAAACAAAAACTCGTACACCAAAATAAAGATCACACCCTTTGCGCTATCCGCCGCTTCCATTTCCACTTATCCTCAATCCTCCAGAAGCCTTAAACCCTCCAAACTCCATCTTCTTCCTTCCTTCGAAGCCCAAAAACGATGTCTTTTGCTGTGAAAGCCTTAGCAAACCCTGCGCCAGCTCAAGCCCCCTCCGTCTTCGCCATTTCCAGACCTTCGTATTCAAACCCATGTCTCTCAATTCCTTTCAAACCCATCAAATTCAACCTCTCTTGCTCTCACCCGAGCTTTCTCTGCCTAAAGAAGAAAGGGCCCATTGTGAGAGCTTCTGTTATGGCGGCCCAGAATGAAGAGAACGACTCAGTAGCTCTCGAGGAGCAAGAAGAGGGCTTTGATGGTAAACTCGACTGGGATTCATCGGAAAGCGACGCCGAGGGAGGGGAGAGTGTTGGGTATGCTAAGCTGAATGAAGACGCGAAATTGTATGTGGGGAATCTGCCGTACACTGTGACTAGTGACGATTTGGCCCAGTTGTTTCAGGAGGCTGGTGTTGTGGAGATGGCTGAGGTAAAAAAAGATTGGATTTTTATTGCTTAATTGATTTGTTTTGGTTTGGGGGATTTGGTTTTTGAGCATGATGGTTATGGTTTTTGTTGAGGTTTTCATGATAGACCAATCTTCTAGGGTCGTTTTGTTTGTGTGTTTGTTTTGGTTTTTAGTTATATTGAACTATGGGTGTGTGTGTGTGATGGTTGGATGTTTGCTGATGTTTCTTGATAGGGTACTATTTCAGGACTTTTATTTACTGATTTTTTTTCTTTGTTTTCGTTTGAAGATTTTGATTCTATGGGTGTTTATTGTTGAATCTTGATATGTGGGTTTTTGAAAATGATGAGTTGATTGAGTTAATACTAGTTTTTCCTGATAAGCTAGTGTTTTTATTGCAAGCTTTATACATTTTATTTTATTTTTTTTTCTGCTACTCTTGGGTTTGGAATCTGATATTTTGTATGATGGTTAGATCTATGAGGTTTTATTGATAATACGGTAAAGTTGTTTTAGATGTTTCATTTTTTGTGGATTTTTGTATGCTTTGGCAGGTTATTTATAACAAGGACACTGACCAGAGTAGAGGCTTTGGATTTGTGACGATGAGTACCGTGGAAGAAGCTGAGAGGGCTGTGGAAAAGTTCAATCGATACGTAAGTTCCATTGTTATTAATATGTGTAATCAAATCGAACTGCTCCCTTTTGAGCATCTTTCTATAGTCATATTTATGTAATTTGTGGTTACCTGTAATCTATTCCAGTGAGCAGTGATGATACCTTTTGGTTGTAGTCTTCGGCTAATGGCATGAGAAGTAAAGTGTGACAGTTATATGAGATTTTCCACTTATTGTCTTGATTTCAGTAGACATTAGTTATGTTATGCAGAAAACATACATTTTCCACTTATCTTTCTTTTCGAGAGACCTCACTCTTTATGATCATCATCATTCACATTTTTCTGCATTCACTTCTCGTCACAGGATGTGGGCGGGAGATTATTAACCGTCAATATAGCCCTTCCGAAAGGGTCAAAGCCTGAACGAACCCCTCGTGTGATTGATTCCGGTTCGAAAATATACGTCGGTAACCTGCCGTGGAGCATGGATGATTCTCGCTTGGAAGAGATTTTTAGCGAGCACGGTAAGGTGGTGAGTGCTCGGGTAGTCTATGACCGGGAAAGTGGTAGGTCACGAGGTTTTGGGTTTGTGGAGATGTCGAGCGAGGCCGAAATGAATGATGCTATCTCTAACCTTGATGGGGAGGTATGTAATTTTAATATTTTATAAGATGAACTCCTTACTTATTTTTGGTTCTTAGTGTAAATTTTGCGGCTCGTTTTTGCAATTATTTGTTGAGTTTACAATCTACTCAAACTAGTGATGAAGAAAAAAAAAATCGAGTTGATATGATTGGATTTTGCATCCTTTTTGCATCATGCCTTGCGTCGTTTCTATTTCATGAACTTTACAAATGTCGAACAATAGCTTTCTTAAATTTCATAATGTTGCAGAACTTGGAAGGGAGATCAATCAGGGTAAGCGTTGCTGATAGGCGGAGTTTTTGATTTGGGATGAAAAATACGAGCACTGCAATTCGTGATATGTCTTCCTTTGTGGAGAAATTTATTGGGTTTTTGTAAGGAACCATATCAATGAACTAGTTAAGAGATTTTGTTGTCACAAAACCGTTTGTTTCGATTTACCTTGATTGTATTCTATTTTGATGCAGCGTGTGCTTCAAATTTGACTTGGATATGACTGAAAGCTTAAGAAATATTGAATTATTATTGACTGATTGATGGCATGGAAGCGTTGGCTTTGTATGTTGTTATAAGAAGTCAGTACTAATTCAAAGGTGCCACAGTGAAGGATAGAAAAGTGATTCTATACCCAAGATATCAAAATTTATGTAAATTTTTATAAATGAAATGATGATGATATAACAACTTTTGGTGGGTGATTTCTGATTTGTGTGACAATTTCAACCTCAATGTGTATCTCATCCCCCGGGGAGGTTGCACCATTGGCTACACTTTTGAACCAAACATTTACACCACAAATGGAATGAGACATATAGAGATTCAATTTTTATGTTGATTCCCGTAATCCAATCACCAATATATAATGCGCCAGCTTGTAAGTCCATCACTGCCCTTGCAACTGAGCTTCGCGGCTCGTGAGAGGGACATAACGAACAGAAAACTCAGTCCTCACGCTGATTGTGCCATCCGCATTTTTGTCCACCACTTTCAAGTCCTGAGAGCTTTTCCCAATCGGAATCACTAATCTGCCACCCGGTTTCAATTGGTCGATGAGCGCCGGAGGAATCTCCGGCGAAGCTGCTCCAACATGAATGGCATCGTAAGGCGAGGCCTCCGGCCAGCCTTGCCGGCCATCTGAAGTATACATCAAATTAAATCTCATCTTATGAAATCCGAATGTGTTAAAAAGTGTTTAACCAACACTTTAAAACCAGAAACATTTTCTGTGGATGTAACCATCAAAACTCAAAACCCATGCAGAAACTAAGATCAAATGGATTGAAATACAAGAGCAAGAGAATGAGAAATAACATACCAACAACATGGATTGAGAGCAGTCCTTCTCTCAACAATGTGGCTGCTTCGCTCTTTTCGATATTCTTAACCGATGATTCAGCCAATTCAGGAATATGCTCTACGCCAACAACGCAGCCCTGTGGTCCGACCATAATAGCAAAGCAAGCAGTCAAATATCCTGTTCCTACAAGAAAAATTTAACAAAATCTTAAAATTAAAGCTACACTTTGTGAGAACTGAAGCTAAATTATATGTCATAATCTCATTTTTGGGCTAATCATGCTAACCATACTTTACAACAATATGTAAACATATATATGTGTGTGTGTGATCATAAATAATGGGGTGATAAAAACTAATTTTCAGGTTTCACCATATCATAGATAAAATTTAGCACACACTCTTGAGAATGTGGATGTAATTGAAAGTAAATTAGGTTGAACCTGAAGTGACTGACATATTCTGCAGTTAAACCTAAAGTAAATGCTTCATATCTGAGGAACTTGTCCACTACAAAGTTATGAATCTTAAAGGCTAAATCCAAAATATTATTTCCAGATATTTCAATTCATCAAAATTCAAACAAGCGTTTCAAAGAAATACTTTCCTTAAGGTTCTTTCTTTAAGGAATGAATATTCTTGAGATTTTGAGACCAATAGTTCGAGAAAAAGCCAATATTTCCTCTGAGCCAAGAATAGAATAACTGAAAAAATTTCTAAAAGAAAGAAACTGCTCAAAGACAAAGCAATTCTTAACAGAGATTATTGCACTCCTCACAACTTTTGTGACCTCCTTGACAATTTATACACTGAAGCAATGAATATTACCAGAACCAACATCCAGGGCACGCATGCCGGGTTTCAAATGGTTCTCGAGCAATTCAAGGCAAGTTGCGTGCATGTGAGGTGCAGATATTGTGGCATTGTAGCCAATGAGCATAGGGCTGTCGGCATATGGAGGTGCGCCATCTGGCATGAACAAAGCCCTGTCGATTGATCTCATTACCTCTGCCACTTTCTCAGAATTTATCACTCCATGGCCTAGCAACTGGTCCACCATTTCTTTGTTCGTTCTGATACCACTCCCACTCCAGAACCGCTGTCGAAAAAGATCGAAAAATGCTCAAGATAATATGTCATAAAAGTTCACGTGATGAACGTATTATGAAGTGAAGGGAACTCCATAAGCTAGTACGACGCATTTTGTGCATGAACAATTTGTATTCGAACTAAAGATAAGGAACTGCAAAAGCCACTCCAACATCAAATTTTTTTACTGATAAAGTGATATGCATCCTTATACATCACCATTATATATTTACAAATAAATAAATAATTGAGCTGTCTACTTTCTCTCACTCTATCTATCTAATATCTAACTTTTACCTAGTTTCATCTTCTTTTCCGAAATCAAACTCAATGAGTGTTGTATCCTATTATGGTTCTGTATCATAAAGCAACCCGAAAACCCCACCCAAAAAACTCATTTTGTGTCTCCATTGGATGTATGAAGTAAATCTCCGGTAAGGAGGCAGATGACTACCCAAAGAATTCTCTCCATCGACAACCTATTCGCCTTTTTCACACTATGTTTTGTGAAAAACATAAATTAAGCATCAATAATCAAATGGAAAGGCGAGTGACTGGCGATCGAACTAATGCAGATCCCAAATACAAATTACATAAATTCAACACAAACAGAAGAAACAATAATGACGATAATTAAAAAAAAAACAAAAAATAAACGCCCATTTTCCTTCTAAATTGTACGAGTAGGCGTACCTCCATGTGTTGTTTAGCAGAGAGAAGCAGAAGAAGATCAGGGAATTGGTAGCTGGACGGCACGGCGGTGGAGGTAAGTGTTTAATGACGGCGACGGCGTACGGCGGTGGCGTTTGGTGGAGCCGATGACTGAACCAGACAAGCTAAAAGGGGGTAATCAGATTCTCTCTCATGGATTGATGGGTCTGAAATTCTATCACTGACTTGTCAATGGGTTTGGGCTTTTATTATCGCTCTCGGGCCTGGTTTGGAATAGGCCCAATGTTCCTAATTTGTTCGCTTTATTTTCCAACAATAACAAATAAAAAAATTGCAGGTTCACCTATAAATTCAACTAGTGCGTATCCCGTGCGATGCACGGATATATAAATTTAGAGAATATTATAATTTGACATGCATTAGATGTATGTGAGTTTAATACATACGGACATTATTCATCATAAAATGTTCGTCACGAAAAAAATTTATATTATTAAAAACTTTTTTGTACACAACATTATGAGTTTGATTATTGGGTAACTCGTTGTGAGAAGCACGGGCCAACTCGGACCGGACGCGGACTGCACAAAGGGCTGCGGAAACTGGGCCTCACTCAACTTGGCTCCCTTGTTGGGCTTCTCTCCTGGGCTGCGGATGTTGATTGTTGTCGTCGAAAAAATTGCCCCCACGCTTGGACCACTTTTCTAATTTCCAACTGTATTATAAATTGTATTTTATTCTTACTTTAACTCTTTCATTCTTATTCTATGTAGATAGTTATTTTACATTCTCAACTATACTAATAAAGTATGTTTTAGTTTGAATCATATAACTTCCTTAATATTGAGTTGAATAATTTATAGATTGAAACATAATTTAATGATTCCCTCTAATTTCTCTCCCCTCTCCCCTTTTCATATTCTGTATTTTACAATTTTCTCCAAATAAAACAAAAAATTACATACAACAATTATTAGGTTGACCATCAAATAAATCAAAATAAGATTGTAAATAAACGTAAACTTTTTCTTAATAATTTCTATTTTTTTTTTGAAATATTAATTGCAATGTTTCAGGTTCGACACACAATTGGTTTGTTTGTTTTTTATTAATTGCTTATGAATAGGCTATCTATCTTAATTTTTGTTCAAAGTCATCCTTGATATGTGTTTTGATTTATAATATTTTCTATCGTTTCGAAAAAAAAAAATCCTTGATATGTGTTTTAGAAATATAAAAGATGACTTTTTCTGCAGTAACTAATAATTGTTGTATGAAATTTGTGAGCTGATATTAAATAACAATTTTTAGTTAATAACTTGACTACTTCTCATCATTAAGATCCACTACTTTTAAAAATATTGAGTGACAATAATGATGATTTTTGTAAAATGAACAAATCAATATATATGTTAATCGGTTTTGAAATAAAAAAATAATATTAAATTGAATCAATAAATAAGCATTTATAGAATTAATTTATTAATTTATATGCACGGTAATAATCTACATAAATAATATGTTGATTAAAAAAATATATAGTATGTGTATTGAATTTTATCAAATATATATAAAAAATGTATGAATATATTATATTTATACGATGTAACACAGAGTTACCTAATTACATTTAGGACTATTTAGTATGAAATTTCTTTAACCACAATAAAGCCTTGACAATAGCGGATGAGATATGAGAATGACAATTGTATTGTGATTTTAATTATTTATATTATAAAATCATGTTTGAGATAGATTTATGTTTGGTCAAATAATGGGCACCCATCTCAATTAAGTGAAGAATGTGCATAGAATTGCATAGATTCAATAAAATCAAGACAGATGCGGCAATATATGATAATCCGATAGTTACGTTAAACAGTTTTGTATAGGATATTCACCATATTTATCTTGATTCCAAATTTTAAGGTAAGTATTATTGCTGGTCGACTTTCTGTTAAATAAAAAACATAACAAATTTTATATTTTAGGGCAACATTTTGAGTTTCTAAAAAATAATAAATAAAAGTTACTATAAATGGCATGTAATAAATGCTAATGGGAGTTTGACTAAGATTTAACTTACTATTTTTAAAAAATGGTAAATCTTTTTATATATACTAGTACAGAGCCCGTGCGATGCACGGGGGTGCACAATTTTAATGTCATTTATCAATTCTTATAATTATATAAATGATTAAAAAAAATGTACGAGATATATATAGTACGTGATTTGTAATAGGCCAAAATGTGAACACGGGTGATGAACGGGGTGCACAATTTTAAGGTCATTTATTAGTGCATACCCCGTGCGATGCACGTGCATATAATAAATCAATTATTTCTATAGGACTTGTACGTCTAGACAAAAAAATAATATGCTTGGATCTTCCATATTTCACATCTTTCAATAAGTGGCGTTTATTTAATCTAAAAAATTAACATGTTAATTAATATATAATTCCCCTAACACGTCATACTAATATTTATTTGATTTTAAAATACAAATTTATTCATTGATATAGAAAAAAATAAAATTTTTATTAATTATTGTTCACCATATAATACTCAATTATTATTTTATTATAAGATATATAGTCATATAATGTAATTATTATTATTTATAAAAGTTATAGAAGTATCTTCTTTATGTAATGAAATTCAAAATAAAATTTTGAGTATAAATATTTACAAAATACACACACATGTTTTTTAGAATTTAATTTTCTCATAATATTTTTAAAAAATAAAAAATAATTTAGCACTTGCCAAAAAATAAATCCCTTCTTACATAATCAAGAGATTTTTTCTAATTTTCATCCTAAAGCTTTATAGTTTATTTAACATACTATGTAATAGAAAAATATTTTACAATAACTTCATTTTTGAAACATTACAAAAAAAAAGTGATAAAAACACTATCATAGTTGACAATAATATACAAATAAATAACATGTCAAAATTTTAAATAATAACTATAATTTTATTATCTAACCATCAATAAAATCATTTAATGATGTGATCATTATCTTTTAAATAATAAATAATACTAAGTTTTTAAAAAAACATCAGTGTTATATAATTAAATAAAAATTAAAAAATATTACTCGACAAATATTAATTATAATGTATATCAGTAAAATCATTGCATAAATTATTTAAGGAAAAAATCTTGAAGATAATATTTGGATAGTAAATGTAATATGCAAGCATTTAATGTATATAGTAAAAAATTTCCAAATAAAGTATGCATTAAATGTGTGTTGACTTTTCTTCCTACTGTTTTTGGTAAATAGGTTGGCTTTTAATATATATATATATAAATTTTTAATTATAAAAATACGATTTTTTTTTTTAATCTATAAATGGTTATTTGTGGTTTATAATTTTAATCGGATCATAAATTGTATTATTTTTTGTTTTATAATTCGTTTATAATTGATTTGTGTATGATTTTATTTCTAAAGTTGTATTTCTACAAAAAATAGTAGACACATAAAAATGCCTAAAACCAAACTCAAAATTTTCACCTCATACTTTTCTATGTTAAAAATAAATAAAAATAAAATTATGTTGTTCACCTATAAATTCATGTTTATTTCATACTAATGAAGTTTTTTCCTTGGTTACAAAAATTGCCTAAAGGGGACTACAAAGAAGCCACATATATTATCAATAGCCACAATTTGTGCATCACACTTAGTTTTGTACCCAAAAACTCATAAATCTTATAGATAACAACTAGTATAACTTCTCATCATATCTTAAGCTTATCCCAATGTACTCAAATCCTCAATTGATAACAACCCGTTTAATCCCCAATCGCCTTAAATAGCATCAAGTGGCGACTTCAACATTTCCCAACAAACACAACAACACAAACAAATACATACATACAGACGTAATGACGACCATGTCCGCGTCTATTTACGTGTTCCTCTTGATTTGGTGATCTCGAATAGTGTTGTTGGTCGTAATGTGAAGAAGAGAGAGCAAAAGTCGAACCAGAAAACGTTAGAAGTAGCTGAGTTTGTAGTGACAGAATGCAAAAACAAGAATAAGCACGATAATGATTTAGTTTTGGATAAGATATTGGTATATAGCACGAAGTCCCGATCACGAGGGGTCGTTGTCTATAACATGGTGGTCTCCGCCAAGGATGAAAAGGCCGCCGAGCGAAAGGTTTATCGAGCGCAAGTCCGCTCGGAATTGGCAAAGTTGGTGCTCATGGACTGTGTCGCGGGCCATCCAAAGTTCGTTTCAAATTCTTAAATTATCTTGTCATGATGTAATGAAAATAATACGAGTTTTCATAATATTGAAATAAAATAATTCAAATGTCCAACAGAAAACTTATATGGCTCGTGCAACCACAGTTCAAGAAGAATCATACTACAAAATATAAGGAATAACATAAACTTTAATATAATAACACATGTCACGATTCTATTACTTTACACATCACATCACATCACATTTAAAATCAAACAATCGTAATCAATACATTGTCACGATTATATTATTTTACACATCACATCACATTTAAAATCAAGCAGTCGTAATCAATATCACATCACATTTAAAATCAAGCAGTTGTAATCAATTCAATCGTAATCAATACATCCACATCAATTTTTGTCATTTATTATGTCATTACATTGTGTTAAAATAGCATTATTTGCTCAAGAATTACTTGGTAGACAAATAATTAATAAGTTTATGGTTCCCTTTAGTTACCCTAACTACAATAAATTTCATGTTTCACCAAGACCAAAATTTATTCACACCAGATAACAACACATAATGTTCTCCACCCTCTTATAAATGAAAACAGAACAAACATTCACCAAACAATTTATAAGAAGTTACACAGATCAAAATGACACTCTCATCTGGCTACTTTTTATCGATGCTTTTCTCAATTTTGCTCACTACTTTGGTCCTAACAGAAGGGTATAACCGTGATATGAAAAACCTTACGAACCCAAATGACCCGAATGTGTTGACGGTGGCAAAATTTGCAGTCACAAAGTATAATATGATAGCTCGCCAAAAATTGAACTTCTTAACCGTGATCAAGGCGCACAAAGAGGTTCTAAGCGGTATGCTTACCGTGTATCAACTGATAATGACGGCAAAGAACAACGATTCGTTTAATCCCGAAACATATTACGCTTGTGTTCGGTCGAAAGCTCGATTAAAGAACCCGACACTCGAATCATTCTTCTAAAAAAGCACTACTTGTTCGAAGTCGATATGTATTGTTTGACTGGTCTTGATACAAAAGCTTACCTAGCCATGAAAGATTTATGATCTTTACTTGGTAGGTATATGCTAATTTAATTTTTTTTTTCTTTCCATCTCTTCAATTCAAGGGATGACAATTGACAACCAAATTAAAATTTTCAGTTATCTCTATTTAAGTTTTCTTAACCAGATAACTATCAATTTAATATCATGACATTATAAATACAGCAATAACATTCAATCAGCCAATCACTAATTTAAATTTTAAAATAATTAAGAAAAAAATGGCAACCTTACTATCAGGCTCTCTTTTACACATTTCCCTAATGATTTTGG